GAGATTAGACAATTGTACGCAACTGATACGAGAATACTTCAAATTTTAATGACAGTTGAACGTGTGGAAAAAGTGTATAAAGTGTTGTCGCTTTTTTAGTGTAAGAATTTTGTTTATGTTTTGATTTCTTACACAATTTGATCATAATATATTATATATTAATAAATTGTATTTATAAATACATATTAAATTTAGAATAATAGCTTTAAAATCTAATTGTTGTTGTGTATTGTGATTGTGCTATGTCAAAACATTTTAAAGATTCCTCACTAAATATTCTGATGTTTTGGCAACACTGTGGGGTTCTGACGTTGTAAATCTTGAATGACGTGCATGCATTTTTATATGAAAAATTCTATATACACTAAATTATGGGATGCATCCCTTATCCTAGAATTCACATATATTGGCGTCAGGAGATGCCGTTGATGTTATTCTACACTTAACACAGTCAATTCCTACAGGAAGCTGCCCCTATTTTGAGAGATATTTTTCATCAGTACCCCTCATTGAACTTATATCTCAAATGAAACTTCATGGACCAGGTACTTTGATGATGAACAAATTTTCAGAACGGAGAAAGATACCTTTAAAATACCTTAAAATACCTTTTAAAGAAGATCGTTGTATGAATCGAGGCAAATCGCAGAAATTTGTGTGTGGAGACATAGTTGTTGTTAAATGGAAAGACAATAAATCTGTACTAATGGTATCGAATTGTACATTAGCTGACAATACAGGCAATGTGAATCGCTGGAACAAAATTCTAAAGCATATATTCAAGTTTACATGCCAAAGCTTATTCACAACTAGAATACCAACATGGTGTGGAAGTTCTAGACAAAGGTATAAAACAAATTCATTTTCAATGCAACAAGGAGTTCCACATGGTTCACCACTGTCTCCTCTGTAGTATAACCTCTACTGCAGTGAAATATGTGAAAATGGACTAACCAATAGTAATTTGTTACAATTTGTGGAAGATACAGCAGTGATATCTTTTGGTAAAAATTTAATAAGTAGAATTACTCATCACAAAGGCAGATGGATGACACAATATCTTGGACCATCAAATGTAAATTAATATTAATATCTACTTTTCAGGTAGAGGAAGCAGAAATGAATACTCTTGAAATGAAAAGACATTTTAGTACACATAATATTGAAACCTTTATAAGTAAATTACATAATCATGACTGGATTAATTTAAGTTACAAATGTGTAAATGATCAATGGAATACTTTCTTAAATCAGTTTCTGTATATATTCAATCAGTGCTTTCCTTTTAAAAAGTTAGATTCTAGGCAACGTAAAAAAGGCCTTAATAAAAGAGATGATCCAGAGATAATAGAATGTAAGACTCGTTTAGACATCTTGTTTACAATGAGCAGAGTTAACCATAAATTCTATGATTCCTATAGACAGGTAAAAAAAGAATATAATAAGAAACTAATAACAAAACGATCAAAGCTATATGAAAACAGGATATCTGAAGCTGCCAATAAAAATAAATGCATGTGGCAAATTGTTAGTGAAATTAATGGTCGATTAAAAAGTGTAAATTCAATAAAAGTAGAGGGTAGTCCTCAAGAGATTGCTGATAAATACATGATACACTTAAATACTTCTTTAAATAACACTTTATCTCAATTACAATACACTGAATATAAAGACAACATAGCAAGTAACATAAATTCAGTGTTTGTCGCACCTGTGACAGAAACTGAAATTATGGATATAACTAAAAATTTAAAAAACAAAATGAGTTGTGGAATTGATGAAATACCCACTAAAATCCTTAAACTTTGTATAAAGGAGATAGTGAATCCTCTCACTACAATCATTAATAATTCACTAAAATCTGGTGTATTTCCTGAATGCCTGAAAACTGCCATAGTAACACCTGTTTACAAAAAGGGTGATCCTAAATTAATTAATAACTATAGACCAATTAGCCTTCTATGTTCCTTTTCAAAAATCTTAGAAATGACTATGTATAGGCGGATAACAGAATTTTTAACAAAATGTCATATTATTAGTGCAAATCAGCATGGTTATCAACAGGGAAAATCAACTCAGACTGCGATTTTTCAATTTGTCTGGGATATTTTGAAATGTACTGAGATTGGTCATATGGCTTTGGGTCTCTTTTTGGACCTATCAAAGGCATATGACTGTTTAGTGCATGACATATTATTTGATAAATTGGAGAAATATGGTATACGTGGACCAGCATTGAACTGGTTTAAGTCCTACTTGGCAAATAGGAGACATTTAGTAAAAATACATAAAAACACTGAAATCGGCATCTCATCTGAAAGCACTATCAATATTGGAGTACCACAAGGAAGTGTGATTGGTCCTTTACTGTTTGTGATCTATATCAATGATCTTCATGGTCTAGTGGCTAATACTACTTCCAGCATAACAAATTATGCAGATGATACTAACATTTTAGTCAGTGGTAAAGACATGTCTGTTCTAAGCGTTAATGCTAGTTTAGAGTTCCAGAAAGCTAAAGACTGGTTTTCTATGAATAGGTTGGTTTTAAATCAAAATAAAACAGATCTTCTTTTGTTTAAGACAAATTATGCACATTCAGATATGCCAAACAGTATTATTGTAAATAATGACACTTTAAATATTAGCAGCAGTACCAAATTTTTAGGATTATATATTGATAGTTTTTTATGTTGGGATAAACATGTTGACCAGTTATGTATGTCTTTGAGTAAAGTGATTTACAGCTTTAGAGTTCTAAAAAAATACATGAATAGTAACTCATTAAAAACAGTGTATCATGCTAATTTTGAAGCAAAATTTAGATATGGTCTAATAAATTTTGGACACAGTAGGGACATAAATAATGTATTTCTGGTTCAGAAAAAAATAATCAGAGTTATGTTTGACTTAAAAAGTAGGGAATCATGTAGAGGGCATTTTAGGAGTAATAATATTTTAACAGTTTATGCTGTATTTATTCAAGAATGCTTACTGTTTCTATATAAAAATAAAATACTATTTAGGAACTTTGAGCCCAATAGTATAGTAAATACCAGGTTATATAATTATAAAATTCCAATACACAGGTTAAGTATAACAGAAAAAAACGCTCTTTATTGCTGCATCAAATTGTTTAATAAACTGCCTGAACCTATTAAAAGGGAGGAAAGATTAAGTGTGTATAAACATCAAATATTTAAATTACTGGTAGCTCTTGAGCCATATTCTGTGGAGGACTATTTGCATATGTAACGGTTAGGAATAAGTAAATAATATTTTCGTTTGTGACACTGTTTTTTTTAAATAATTTTATGTTCACTGAATGTATATTGTTTTCTAAAAATAAAGATATTGTTATGTTATGTTATGTTATGTTATTGCGCCACCCTAAACACAACTAATAATAGTTAACCACAGCATCCCAGATCAATCTTTAACTATAAACATATGTAACAACATTATTAAACCCTCCCAATATGTTAAATATTTGGGAATAGAAATAGACAACAAATTAAAGTTTAACTACCACACATCATGCACAAAAAGAAAAATTATAATTAGAGCAAAAACACTTTAGAAGCTTAACATACAAGAATGAGTATATTTGAATCTTTTCTTTATATATTTGATATTCTTTATATTTGAAGTATAAAAGATATACATTATAAAAATATACCAACATCGAAAAAATTAAATATTTTATTTCATGGTTGACATTTGTGGCTATGTTCTGGTTGCCTTCTCATTCACATTGACCCACTTTACAATAAAACTGGAACAGAACCTATAAATATGAGACTCAATAATTTATTTAAATCTTTCTCTATTAAAGAAAAAACCATGCAATTGATTCAGCCTCTGTTATGAAGATACCTGAAAACAATCACCAAAGATATTTAGAGAGAACTCTATTTGAAGAAATTCCCTGCATATCGACAATAAACAACTTTCTTTTAGTGCCTTGCCTTTCTTAGTTGTAACTTAATAGTCTGACAATACTGTAATTAACACTTTTTTAAATTATTGTATTATATTTAGCCTTAAAAAGATAATTTAATATATCCATAATAATTTTGTAAATTGGCTGAAAGACTTTGGTCGATGACCTTTTGGTACTTAGTAATACAGTCAATATTATTAACATTACATACCTATTTTGGGTCAAAGAATTTCCTAATATTTACCCAATAATCTAAATCTATCTGCTATCTAATATTTAGAAATTAAAATACAGAAATTGATGCTTGGAAGAGTTGTCCGTTTTTATCACATCACTTAAATAAACTTAACAATGCCAGTATGTTGTATTGTTCAACCACTTATGCCAATTATTTATCACAACCAAAAATGCACAGAACAAGCAAAAAAGCATTTTTCTATTGTACCTACATATCCAAACATTTCTCTTCTAAATATCTTCTGATAATTTTATTAAATTTCAGTTTTTGTTTAATATCTGAAATAATTTTAGTGGTTTTGCAATTTCACATTTTTTATCTACCAATGCTAAGTTCTTATTTCATTTGGTTTTTCTAAATATATCAGTGTTTTAATATTTTGAAAATAAAATTCTACGAGGAAACTAAGTTCCTGTAGCTGGCTGTATACCATATATCACAAAAAAAAAATTTGTTAAAATCCTTTATAAAAGGTATATAAAAATGCCTCAAACGGGCTATCACAAACACATTGCAAAACGTTTTCGGATTAAACAATCCATCATCAGTGCAAACGGTTGTACATGCTAGTAGCATGTATTTTGAAAATATCTTGTCATATTTTTGTAAGGGTTTACTGTTTTTAGATCCATTTAAAATGGATTGAGAAACAAAGAAATGTTTCTGTTTTAAAATAAAACCTTAATGGAAAAAGAGTGAAGAGAAGATTTAAATGTTAAAAAAATATTAATGTATCAAAATAGAACACAATGTGTAAAAAGTGATAGAACAAAAAGTGGTAACATTCTGTTAAGTTAAAACTAAATAAAGAAAACTTACTCTTTTTGCTGTAGCAGTTCTTGTTGGCAATCTCTGTTAGTCTGAGCTTGTAGTGCCATATTAAGTTGATGAACGTTCCTTCCTCTTAGAAGAGGTAGAATATTTTCTTTGCTATACTCAAAATCCATTAAACTGAATGTTCCTGAATCTAAAAAAAATCAAAATAATATAATTTGCTGTTATTAATATCTAGCTTTGGCAAAATTTTATTTTCTTCTTCAGATATGAACATGAGCTTAATCCATAAAGTTTTCAACACTGTCACAACACATTAAAATAAAAATTCCAAGTCGATCAAACAATCATAGTGTTTTAATTTATTTAAGTTGAGAAAATATATGGTAAAATAGTTTATTTTAAAATTCAATCAATGTCACGACTATTGTTTGTATTTCTTATATTACAAGCATATAGATAATTAGTTTTTCTATGATTTTCTAACAGGAATTTAATCCAATTAAAGGAAAGGATTAATTAAAAATTAATCCTTTCATTTTCATTTCATTTCATTCAATTTCATTTTTTTTTATTAATTAAATTAATTAATAAAAAAAATGAAATTAAAAATTCCACATAAATAGAAATAACACTGAGAAAAATAAGCATAAAGACACAAAGAGGAAAGACGGAGGAATTCAGTATAAGTAAAGTGATGAAACAAGGAGATGCCTTATCAACAACGCTATTTAATCTAGCATTAGAATATGTACTACGAAATAAAAATAAAGAAAATCTCAGAACAAGAGATGGTCAAATAATTGCATATGCAGACGATATTGCTATTATTGCAAAGAACAGGAAAATAATGAAAGAAATGCTAGAAGAAATAAGAGAGAAAGGGGAGATAGTGGGACTAAGATTAAATCAAGAAAAGACAAAAATATTAAGATTAGGGAAAAAGCCAATAAAAGAAAAAATCAAAATAAGAAAATCTGAGTTTGAAGAAGTAGAATACTTCAAATACCTAGGTTACAATAGTTACCTAGTTACAATAAGCAAAAACGGAGAAAGGAAGTTCGAAATAAAGGAAAAAATATTAGGAGCAAATAAAGCTTATTTTGCAAACAAAAGATTACTAAAAAGCAAAACACTGACTAAGAAAACTAAGATTAACATTTATAGAACCATAATTAGGCCAATATTATTATATGCAGGAGAAACAATGACGATGGTTAAAAAAGATGAAAAAGAATTAAGAATAGCAGAGAGAAATATTATGAGAACCATACTGGGACCAATCAGAACAGAGCAAAATGAATATAGAAGAAGAACAAATGCAGAGATTAAGTAAGAACTTAAGAAAGACATTGTGACTAAAATAGAGCGATGCAGAGTTAGATAGTTAGGTCACATTTAGCAAGCAGGAGATGAGGCAGTATCATGCGCAATGATAGAATGGAATCCAGGAGGAAGAAAGGGAAGGGGAAGACCAAGATCGAAGTGGCTACAAGAAGTTGAAGAAGACCTCCAGAGGGTAGGATTCAGAGAGTGGAGAGGAAAAACTAGAAGCAGGAAAAATGGAGAGTTATTGTCAAGAAGATAACATAAACAAAAGGGACTGATCTACTCAAGAAATAGGATCAAGAAAGCATTCGGGGTTAAACTCCACGCTGAGGTATATGGATATTATGTATTTTTAATTACAACTTTTGTAGTTTTTCCCAGAAAAACATATTTAGTGAAATGTAAAAAATGCCTCATTAACATGAATAACTTTTCTTTTTGTACAAAGTTATCTCTACCTTCTTAAATATATGGTTCACAAATGCTAATCTTCATTATAGATTTAATTCTAATACACCATTTTTTTATTATTTTGATATTTTTCATAAAATCCATCCTCACTGATATTATAGTTCTTAGGTTGAGCCTCAACTTTCTCAAGTGATATTCACCATTCAGTTCTATCCATTTCCAGTTTTTGAGACCAAATTTCCTATTGCCTTCAGTTACATCATTCTTTTATGGTTTTTTGTACCTATACATCTCTAGTGCTGTCATATAAATTTACAGCAGAAAACATTGATGGTGTATAACATTATTGAATAAAAATTAAAAACATCTATTTCAATAGTAACCTAACAAAAAAATTTATATGGTACCGTTCTCATCATAAAAAACTGGTACAACTCTTATAATCGAAAATCGTGTTTTTCAAGTTGTGTAAGTTGATCTTGTCACATATGTCATTATACGTCACAAAATATTGTGTCAAATCAGCTAAAAGAGGGGCTGTGCGATAAACACATTATAAATTACAGTAGATGCATTCCAATGTTCCCTGTGCCAATACCCTACATTTAAAGATCCTTTAAACATTTTGGGCATTAACTCAACCCTTTCTCTGGTTATTAAATTTATTAGATACAGTTTTTGTTGTTAATGATAATAATAATGCCTATATAAAAACTTTAAACATTTTTGAATGTTATTTTTTTATTTAGATTTAGTGCAATTTCCTTATCTGTGATGGCAACAACTAATTGATTCACAAACCATTGTGTCAAGTCTGACCACAGGTTTCATCATCGTCATTGGTGCTACAGCCCTATAAAAGAGCCTCAACCATCTCAAGTCTATTACACCAGTCAGTTCTATCCATTGCCAACTGTTGCCAGTTTGCTGCAATTATTTTTCTACCATCCTCATCTACACCATCCCTCTATCTGAGTTTTGGCCTACTTCTATTTCCCACAGGTTGTGACATAAGGATTCTTCTAGGAGGGTTGTTCTGCTGTGATCTTACCAGATGTCCTACCCATCTTAGTCTTCCTATTTTTATAAGAAATACTACGTCTTTAGCACCAAATATACATTTATATCTGTGATATATCTCGTAGTTGTACCTCCTTCTCCAAACACCATTTTCACAGATGCCACTGAATATTCTTCTTAGGATCCTTCATTCAAATATAAGCAGGAGGTTTTCATCTGCCTTGGAAATGGTCCATGTCTCTGATCCATATGTCAACACTGGTTGTATAAGGGTTTTGTATATGGTTATTTTTGTTTTTTGGCTTAGGTTTCTGCTTCTCATATGTCTACTCAATCCAAAATAGCATTTGTTTGCTGGGATTACTCTTTGCTTGATTTCCTTTGTCATGATGTTTGCCTTGGTGATCAGGGAGCTTAAGTATGTGGATTTGTCCACCACGTCAAAGTTATCAACAGTGAATTGGTGGCCAATGTTTCTGGCTCTATTGTTGGGTGTTGATGCTATTATCTTAGTTTTCTCCTCATTTACTTGCAGGCCCATATTTTTTGAGGCATTTGACCAGGTGGTATACAGTTCTTCTAGTTTGCGTGTTGTGTGGGCAACTAGGTCAACATTTTCTGCATATACCAAAATTTGGGATGGTTTATCAAAAATGTTTTCTCTGTTGTCTATTTGAGCATCACCTTTTCCAGAGCTATGTTGAAAAGGAGACATACCAGCGCATCTCCCTGTGGCAGCCCAACATGCGTTTCAAATGCCTGTGATTGTTCTGACCACAGGTTTACATTGGAAAAAAAGGTGGTGTTCATTTTTTAAGGAACACTTTTTGAAACATGTCTACAAACCAATTGAATGATACAGAATTACAAGATGAATATTTCAAACAATTCCAAAAATGGTACAAGAGTACATACAAACAGAAAAATAATAAATAAATAACATATTCTGGTAATTAATGTTAAGAATAGTAAATAACAAAGTGTCACAAGTAAATAGATTTAGAACCAGAGAAAGAATATTTTATATGAATTTTTTAATCCGAGAATACAGAATAATAAGAAGACCCACTGAAATTACATTTACAACCAGATCTTGCAACTTCAACATAAGGATTGCTTTTGGATGATTATAATCACTTAAAAAACACGCAGAAATCAATGACTATTACAAATGTAGCACAAAGTTTTTGCTCTATTGCAGAACAAACTAAATTTTAGTAGTTTTGTGTAAAGTTTGAATCTAATTTTGACAATAAAAGAATTATTTGTCTCTTTGTTGCTGCAATTATTATTTTGAGCATATTATAATAAATTAAGATCTCTCGAATTTATACAAACAACATATACAAAAATATGTATCTAAAAAATAAGTACCAGCAAATTAGAGTTTTGATAGCATAATGAACCTCTTAGGTTAAACTGGGAAAGTAAAGAGAGAATGTTAATCCTACTTTTTCAATTATTTTATCTTATGCTTATCTTAACCTGCCTTTACTATGTTTACAACTTTAACATAATATATACTTCAAAGTGTAAAATTTCTTGGAGATTTTTTGAAGTGATTTCCTAGAATGGTCACTAAGAATGACATATACGTTTTTTAAATTAATTTGAAACAAGGACTCCATCACTAAATTAAATAAATCCATATAGACACAATAATATCAAGAATATTTTCCAATGTGTGACAGTTTCTCAAAGATGATGAATAACTTGTCTTCCTTGGTATGACAAAACTAAAAATGCTGCCATTTAGACAGACTTCAAATATTGGTAAATTAAAAATAAAACAATTATTTAGTGACCAAAAAAGCTCATTTTTGTTAATAGAATTTAATTTTTCCAAACAAAACCATCCTATTAACTTTGTGTATAAATAAGAATACAGAAGAACTCCACTGAGCAGTAGAAACACCACCCCTAAGTACTAGGTACTTATTTTTTTATGATTCTTAAAAATGTTCAAATGTCAAAATGGGTAAAATAAAAAATACTTTCTTATTATTACTGGAACATTTAATTTCTGTATGTTCAAATATCTATTATAATATAATACTATTGGAATTACACGATTGTTATTAAAACTAAATAAAACACTACTAAACATTGTTGATAATAAGATAAATAATATTTCTACCACCCTAAAAAGTAACAGCAATTTTACTATATATTTACAATACTAATTTTACGACGTATACCACATTTCTTTTAAGATTTCCGTCTCTGAACATTTTAAAATCTATTTTCTAAGATTTGTGATGAACTACTAAAATAAATGTCTCAATATCATACCTGACTGATGTTTAGTCAAAGCACCCACTGTCAAAATGGTCCAATAATTTTCTTCGATTACTTCATCAAAAACATTAGATATTGATTACACTTTTGTTAAAAATTAATAGGGGCCCCAGAATTAATATTACTTATCACTATATTGTTTTACAATAATTATATCTTTATATTGTACACTGAATTACGGATCCACAAAGCCTTAGAATAAATAACGACAAAAAGTTGACATATGACAACTTAAAATTACATCACAGAACTACCAACCAAAATCTAGTAGGAATTTTTATGATAGACGTATATATACGTCTTTGATTTTTATTGGATAACATTTTACAAGGACTGTAATAAGAATGTGCACAATAAAAGCTAAAATAATCATAAATAACACCAAGTGTTATTTACCCAAAACCACAAAGCAGAGAAACATAATCCTCGTAAGGTAATAAAAAGAAAAACATTACCGCGGTACCACAGAATAAATAACAATTGTTATTTATTCTGTGGCGGTACGTACGAGAGAATGAAATTAGATGTGTGACATTTGCTTTACACTATGTAATCTGCGTAGCTTATGACACAGTACTACTTAAAACATTGAAATTAAACTAGGGGAAGAAGAAATGAGCACAAATACTCTATCTAAAAGCAAGGCACTTTGATAAATAAACCGCAGAAAGAGAAACTGTATGGTCGGGAAATCTTTAATGGTCGACTTCCTAAAAACTAAACCAATTTTAAACTTCGTGTTAGTTACATACAGAAAATATTATACTTTGATATTTATTCTGTGACATTTATCCTGTGGGAAATGGTGATATCACCATAATTTTACACAGAACACAAATAAAAATTTTACATTCGTTGCCACTTGTCATTTTTAAGTGTTATTCTGTTATTTTTGATAACAGATAACATGTCAGGACTGTCAGGTGGTAAATTGAATTTTATGTTCTGTATTGAAAATTCAATCAAATCAAATTCAATTATAAGATTATCTTAAAGTTTGATTGGTTATTACTTACAATGTATAATATGATAAGGTTACGTAAACAAATTTTTGACTTTATATATGGTTTACAGGATACAATGTGATACAGTTCCTACTTGCAAGTACGAGAAGATTACATACATCCAAAATACTCAGTAAAATGCCTGAAACGTCTGCAAGAGTTTTATCCATTCAAAGTCATGTTGTTTCTGGATATGTTGGGAATAAAAGTGCTGTATTTCCAATGCAGGTAGCTACACTTAAAATATTTCTTAAATGTATTTACAAATTTGAGCACATGTTTGACAAAATATTTATTCTTTTTGAATTCAAAATCAAATAAATTATTTTACGGGTTTAATTTTATAATATCTATATGCGCAGTAATAATAAATCCCTGTTTAAATGTTTATTATTCATTGACATTCACTAAATTTAAAATAGGAAACAAGAAATTATTATTACTATAGTGTCTCTGATGTCACTTTCTTTGCTATTTTTTTAAAGAAATTCTCAGTAATTATAAATAAAAGCTTTGCTAGTCCTATTCATTTCAAGGAGCTTATGTATGTCTTCAGTTTATGATTTCTGCCCTGACAGGTTTAAGTTTAGGTGTCCTTAATTTTGTTCTTTTTTTTACAAAATCTACAATTTGTATGTTGAGGTAATGCATATACATATATATTTTTGGACAATGATTAGTTTAGAGCAGCCAACACAATGAAATATATTTTTCTCATTGTCCTTTTTATATATTGTTATACCTTATAAATATTGGCAGTAAGTGTTTTTCTTTTAATGCTAAAATAATTCTTTAGCAACATACTTACTGTGACTATGTTAATATGTTTCTTGCCTATCTACTAGATATATAAATTTTAAGATAATTGTGTGAACTCCATGGTGATTGTATAGCTATCATATTTATTATGATGATTAGCTGGGTATATTTTAATGTATCTAGTGTTAACAGTTAAGTATCTAGCTTATTATTGAGTTAAGGAGGACTGTCTTTTCGTTAATATTTAGATTTGTAGTAAACTATGTAATGCAATTATTTTTAATAAATTTTATCTGGTATTTATATATCCCAATATTTACTTTTAATTTTATTGACAAGACTATATCGAGGTTTATATCTAATCATTACTTTTAAGACATGAGTAGATACATGTATTTTATGATCACTTCATATAATATGTAAAGTAATATTTCAATCCCAAAAAATTTAATTAGGTATTTAGCTAAGCCGTAATAATTACCACTTCTCATTACCATATCCCACCATGGGATAAAGAAATGAGATTAAGAAAAATTTATTAATAAGGATTTATTTAAGTACATATAAAAAAAACTCTAGGTCTTAACAAAGCATCCCCTGTTGCTGTTCTATGAATGTAGGTTACACTTAGGCTCTGTTGTAAAAGCTTAATGGGTTAAAAACTCATTTTACATGTTTGTAAAAATTGTATATTTGGCAACAGCTCTGTAAAAAAGTTGCTACAAAACTATATTTGATTAGTGAATTATATTATTTTATGAACATATAAAGTGTTCAAAATTTTCAAAAGGCATAAGAATATGAAAAAAATAAGACAATCCCAAATTCTTCCATTTTCGGTACTAAGAGGAACCTATGTACAGCTGGTTCCTAATAAAGCTGATATGACTTTTAGTAAGATTTGATTATTTTTGATTGGTCTGACATTATATTATATTTATTATGACAGGCAAATAATAAAATAAACATACAAACATCAAACAAATAATTTAATATTATGTTAATTCATAAATTGTAATAATTATATTAATGTCGTCGGTCAGATAGCTCGGCGGGCTGTGCGGCTGCCTCTCATTCGCTTCACTGTCGAATGGTTTAGTGGATGTGGGATCGAGCCCAAGCTCGGTGTACAGAAAACAAAAAGTCTAACGCAGCAGTTTAAAATTCTAGATGAATCTGCGGCTTAGACTAAGATATGCTGGGATCTGATCGGCCTATGGTGGAGCAGTACGGCAAGAGATAAGGGCTTGCGGCTCGGTGATACTCCTCCATAGATCCCTACCGGACAGGCGTAACGCCTAAAAAACCGGATATATATATATATATATATATATATATATATATATATATATATATATATATATTAATGTCTAAATTTTGATATTATTTTGAATTCCTGCTTTTTATAAAGAGTATATAAATGATAGTTTTTACATAAAATAGGGTTCTTGTTATTATTTTTATTATTATTAACATGTTACCTGCCTTAGAGGATTTTGTAATACTTTCCATTCACGCCATAGTTACCGGGACAGCACCACAGTTACATTAAAATTCTCGGTCAAATAGACCTCTCTGGCGTGCAGAGCAATTTTTTTCTCGGCCACATAGACCAAGACAGCAGGCAACATGTTAAGGAATAAAACAAACACCTTAACTCAACAATATATTAAAGCAAGAATTGTAACCAAATTAAAAGATAACTGGGCACTATCAGAGGCAGCAAAACATTTTAACATAAGCAGAACCACAGTTTTTCTATTAATAAAAAATGGAGGGAACAAGAAGCTCTCGAAAGAAAGCGAGGGCCTGGAAGACCAAAAATATACTAAATTTAGGTATCTAAAAATAAAATTAATATTTTGTAATATCTCCATCAGCATTGATAACAGTTTGTAGTCTTCTGTCCATCTGCGTAAGAGGAACTATGAAATTGTCTTCTTCAGAGAGCTCTTCCCAAACCTGTTGTATGCCATGCCACATCTCTTCAGCATTTTGAGGTATAAAATTATGCTGATACAACCGTTATATAATAACCCCCCACACATTCTCGATTGGGTTTAAATCTGGACTGTAGCTGGGCCATGGTAAGGTTTCGATGTTGTTATTCTGGAGCCACTGGTTTATTATATTTGCAGTGTGAACAGGACAATTATCTTATAAGATAAAATTATTTTCTGGTTACAACTGTTCTACACTGGGAAACATGATGATTTCTAGAATATTCAGATAGGTCTGTCCAACAAACCTGCCATCAATACTCCATACCATTCCCATTTTTCTAGATGAAATCCATCCCCATATATTGGCGCTAAAATGACGATCTGTTCGATATCTATCAACATATAGAGGATTAAATCTATTATTATCTGGTCTATACACCATAATTTTGCCCTTTTTAGAAGATTGAAAAATTTTCTCATCTGTAAACATTACCCTGTCCCAAATATCTTGAATTTCTAGCTGATGATTTAAAGCAAATATGTCTTTATTAGACCACAGATGAGATGGAATGACAACCTTAAGAGAACTGCAGGAAAGGACTGGATGCAGTTCGTTCAAAATAGAGACCAATGGAGATTAACAGAGGAGGCCTATACTCAAGAGTGGGCGTTTAAGGCTGATTAGATATATAGATAGATAGATGTCTTTATTGCTTCTGTTGTGATGTAAGAGCTTTTTTTTTTGCTGCAGCTCGATACCAAAGATGTGATGCTTTAATTCTGTGGTAAGTTGTTGTCTTCTTCCCGAAACTGTGACATAATTCTTGCAGTTTTCGCATCTTCAAAAGAATTCTCTTCTAATCTCTCCAAAAGCGTATGATCATCATGAGCGGTAGATATTTTTGGTCTTCCAGAACCTTGCTTTCTTTCGAGAGTTTCTTATTCTCTCCATCTTTTATTAATATTAAAAACTGTTGTTCTGCTTTCGTTAAAACGGCACATAGTGACCAACCATCTTCTAATTTCGTTACAATTCTTGCTTTTAGTTCTTTGCTAGCATGTGAAGCCATTTTCGAGGTTGAACAGAATAAGTTATCTGGCAAATTTTAAGATTTGGCAGTGACAGTGACAGTATGTAAATTTGACTGCTGAATTTTCTACAAAATACGCTTTAAGAGTTGTATCAGTTTTTTTAGGAACCAGCTGTACAAAGTTTCAATACTCTAGGGTTACTCTTTCAAGAAAAAGAAGGGCATAAAAATATGAAAAGAAAAAAAAAAGAACTTATAAATCAATGGGATTCTTACTTACAAGATGTTTCCATAAGAATATAAAAAAAAGGAAAACAACATCAACCCCAAATTCAATAAGGTTGTTTCATATACAAAGAGTAACTTATATACCAAGTTTCAATACACCAGGATTTTCCTTTCAAGAAAAGACTTTTCTTAATCAGAAAGAAAAAGTCTAAAATATGATCAAACGAGATAAAGAAGACCTCATTACTAGTGATGGGAAGACCTGGTTCATTTCAGTGACCCTTTTCTTCCAGGTCAATCATTAAAATGACCTGTTTATAAAGATCCGATCATATGAATGACTAACTAAAATTTATCGTGTAAAGGTCAAGTGTGTATAGTTTAATATTGTTTATTAATCTTTCTGAGAGTATATGAATTATTAACAATAATGCAGGATCCGCTCATAGAGATTCATTCATTAGAAAGGTTCATTCGTAAATACTAGACAGCATCATTCATAAGGTAACAGAATGTGATTCGATCTTTTTGAACAGATCGTTCGTGACCTTCTCATTACTACTAATGACAAATTTTTCTGTACAGAAAATACCATAAGAATATAACAAGAACTAGACCTGTTGCACAAAAATGCAATAGGGTTTTTATTAACACTAATAGCAAATAATATAGATGCATACTATATTCTTTGCTAACAGTAACCTAAATACCATGTTTCAAGATTCTGCAATGCTTAGTTCAAGAAAAAAAGACAAGAATATGAAAAAAAGATATTTTGTCACCATGTTCAATAGTGGACTTTTCTTTCAAGAAAAAGAAATGGAAACAAGAAAAAAGAGGAACATATCATTAATATTACATCGTTTATATTTGATTAAAATAATCCAATTATTATGAGTTTAGTTAACACTTGTGCCATCTGTCAGCAGATCTAAAAACATAAAGAGTTTATTTTTTTCTTCCTCCTCCTTCTTACTATAAGTAATAATTATGCATGCTCTTTGGTATATTGATGCCTGTATGAAAGGTTGTAATTCCTTCTGATTCATACTTACTGATTAGTGATTTATCCTTTACTATTGTGACCTGTTTGACCACCTTCATCCTATTTATGTGATTATTCCATTCTTATTTCTGTGGCCACTTGTTTATCCCCTTTATATTACTTACTCTTCTGATGTCTTCACTTCTAATTGGATCCAGCATGTTTTTTATAATTTTTCTCAGCACTCTCATTTCTGCTGTCTAAACTGACGTCTGGGTGGTTGATTGTATCAGGTTTTTCATGTTATTATTGGTCATATTTTCACTATCATTCTGACCTCCATTTACTTAGTATTTCGTTGGTCTTTTGTCAATTAACACATTTGATTTCATTTATTTTTTACTTCTTTATACTATCTAGTTATTTGGTGACACATTGTTTTCCAGGGTTACAAGCTATAGTCTGGAATTCTTTCTACCTGAAGCTTTGCTTGTGACTGCAACAGACATCAAAGGTGATGTTTATATTAGCAGAAGACAGCTCCAACTGTTGCCAGTTATGTTCTATCAACTAAATTCAGTCCTAACTGTCTGAATAGCAGAATAACCATTAAATATCGTAAAACATAAAAAAATAATAATCTGGATCTTAGGGATATTTTTTATAATAGTGTTATTAGGAGATATATATATATTTCAGGTTTTGAGAACTCAAGCGTTCTCTGTTTTCCCAAAGTTTTGCTATTTTAACTACACTATATAGTTCCATTATGATAAAAAATAACGAAATAAAATTGTGTAATACGAAAGTAATAGTATATATGTACTAACACAAAACGACAACATTATGATTTATTGCGTATTACACGCAAATAAAGTATATGATTCACGTCTACAAAATATTCACACGTCTAATTTTATGTTTAATTATCGGGTTTGTAAATTTTATGGATGGATAATTAAGAATGTGGGCTATACTATACATAATTGAATTTTTTAAAATTATCTATCCAATAGTATTGATACTTTTACGTAAGTTCAGGTTTTTATAGCTAAAAAAGATATTTGTAAACGTCTTACAGATAGAATAGATAGACTGAGCGATACAATACAGAAAACTGACGCAAAGCATTCCCTGCATCTCATTCTAATGGGCCGGGTTTATCGACACGTGACCTAAATGACCAATGAGAAAGTCAGATAAAGTAGAAAGAGGTACAGGGAATGCTTTGCGACAGTTTTCTCTGTCGCACTGGGGGAACGGGGCTGTATTACAGCGCTCAGCATGTTGACATCATAATCTTTCGATCAAAATAAGTTTAGGCTTGTGGGTATGAAATCGAACTTTTTCAACAAAAGTTCAAAAGCTCAAACGGACGTGCTGCCAACTGTTGTCAAAATACATAACTAATTACAATTATATATAACGAAATTTACAATTTCAACAAACGATATCACCATTTCGTCCGCCATTTTTCAAAACAAGTGCTGCCACCCATAGTCGTTTGAGAATGCGAATTAATAAAAAACCTAACTTTGTCGATTCTGGAATCGTTTAGTATTTTGGAATAGTTTAATTTGAATTCGCTGGAGCAAGGAAATCGATAATTTTCCTATAAAGTTTTTACACCTATTGACTTGAAAATAATTAGGAATAATTCCTAAGCATATATTTCCTTTGGAATAAAGAGGTGTCTCATATAATAGTCAGAATACTGCAGCAATGGCTTTTATGCTACATGTGTAAAGTGACAAAATATATTTTAGTTTTTTAATAGACAAATGAACTTCAAAGAATTAATTTTTTTTATCGAGTTTAATGCGTCGACAACTAATGGTCATTGGCATGGTAAAGTGAATTTTTACAGTCAGGTACCTAGTGTAGAGTGTAGTATGTGTGTAGAGTAATTGTCTTGATACTTAGCAAAGTCGACGTCATTGTCTTTGCTAAGAGACGCTAATTGTATCCGAACGTCTGCGGTCCCTCCGGTGAGTACCGATCGCACAAGGATAGAAATTATTTTCATTTATTAATTTTTAATAAACGAAAATTTCTCCACCCAGGTGAGATTCGAACTTACGACCTTTAGGTGCAAAGGTAGGCGCTCTTACCACTGAGCCACAGAGGGGGTTAAAGAATTAATTTTAAAGCATTATCTTTGTGAAAATTGTACAATTTTATTTATTTCAGCTGCTTGGCATAGAAGTAGATTTCATAAATTCTGTGCAGTTTTCAAACCATACCGGATATAAAGCTTTTAAAGGACAGATTTTAACTGAAAACGATTTGACGGATTTAGTTGACGGATTATCAGCCAATGACATCGATGTATATTCACACTTACTAACAGGCTATATTGGATCTGAATCTTTTCTTAAAAATATCATAAAAGTAGTACAACATCTTAAACAGAAGAATCCAGGTCTAGTGTATGGTAAGAGAATTTATCATTATATAACGTAGGTTAATAAAAAATCCAAACTGTGGATTAAAGACATAAGTGTGTGGAAGGTCTTCGTATTTGTTTTTCCGAAATATGTTTTCCTTTATATTAAAGTCTATGTGTTAAAATTTTTTGGTCACATTGAACTTGTCTTAAAATGACTATTAACTAAATTGCTTATCTATAAAGGTCGATTTATTTATACATATCCGTGCCGAGTCCGTTCCGTATTATGACAGTGCCCAGCAAAAAACAACAATGTACAATGTATATTTGTACATTGGCGTTTTCCGGACGGGTCCCTTCGTGCCGGCCCTGAAGTTAATCCCAAACGATATTTTTGTTTCCACACTGGCGATGCACGGAAATGACACGGACTGCACGGACTTGTATAAACACGATTTTTTTGTTTTGTGAACGCGAGTGCTGCTAAACAGACAAGTAGGAGATGTTGTGATGTTAGTATGTTATGGTTTTTATACTTATTAAAGAAAAAAGAAAAAGAGTACTGCGACATTCTAAAATATTCCCGAAATGTTGTTTCGTCGTCCAATAATTCTCCTTCGGTTTGTCTTTTTTTTTTTCCACATATGATGCATACTCCATCTTTTTGGCTTCCGTCATTTCTGCTCTTGCTTTTTCTGTTCATCAAGTAATAATGGCAATTATGGCCGCCATATTTTCAACTATCTTTTACACAGAAATATGTAATAACGTTTTCCTCTCTTATTCGGTCCGGTACGCACACTGCCACAACGTGGTTGTATGTAAATATAACATCAAAAATACCCGGACGCGGCACAGATATGTATAAATCGACCTTTAATGATCTTATAAAATTCATATAAATTTTCAATAGGTAAGGGCATGAAGCAACTGCCCGTAATATGTTACATAAACTCGAAAAGCTCTACTCTTTTTAAGTCAGTTTCAATAAAACTAGTTCACCGCCCTAAATTTGCCATATTAACATATCCAATAACATGCCAGAAAACGTACATTTTCATCGGGATTTATAGCCCGTGTTTCGAAATTATTGCTTCCTGACATTTCTGCTGCAACTGCAACAGACGTGAAATTATATAGTCCTCTATGATTTTTCTCGAGTATCATTGAGAGTATCATTGAGACATTAGACGCGCCGAATGTTGCAAAACCAATTCGGACCAACCGATGGAACCTGAGAGGCACATAACATATACATATACAGCAGAAATTCGAGGAAGATAGTCAAATCCATTATAATTTCATCTATCACTCCTGGGACCCGGTTCCGAGACTGTACATTACTTCTTTGAGCAGTGTTTGTTTTTACGATTGGTAGGTTGCTAACCTTTGCCAATCACCCTCCCCATTTTATCCGGGCTTGGGATCGGCTGTGATAACCGCAGAGCTACTTAATCCACCCCGCAATCACCCCAGACAGTGTTTGACATATAGACACTATGGGACAGAGCTAGAAGTACAGATACACGACGTAGATGCAAGGTGGAGAACATCAAGAACTTTGTAAGAAATAGAAGAGAAGAATCGAACGATCAGAGCTGGATGACAACAAATAGAGTAGAAAAGACGGCAAGGGACGGTTTCCCAATAGGAAGACGATCAGTAAGAAGGCCACGAAACCTATGGAACGACAACTTACTGGAGGCACATTGAAAAACAGACAGAGTCATGTCTATATAAAAAGAAGAAGACTCTTTGAACCCCAAAACACATAAAAACTTATCAAAATACGGATTTGAACCTCCACAAAAACTTACACTACGGAACACTTACCAATGTTAGACAACCTCGATGCTTGGTGCAGAAAATATTGACATAGCGTTACTTAAAGTAAGTCTTCTTTAAGCTGCAACATCAAACTATATTTCAATGCAATAATAAATAACTGGTAGACCTACTCTTCCACAATATATTCTGGCAATATATTCATTTATGCCAGAATTAAGAAGGAAATCATTTTACAAGCTTCCCAATCGATGGATGTAACCTCAAAATAGGTCTACAGAGACGACGAACAATTTTGTAATGCTTTCAAAATCATAAGAAACCAGAAGTCTCTAATCTGAAGCCTTTATAAAATCTGTTCAGGCTAGTTTCCAAACTCCTGAATATCCAAAGTTTGATATCTTATTCTTCACGTGCCATATCAGAGTTATCTCAGCATTTGATATCTCAGTCCATTCACGAATGTTTTTTAACCAAGAAACTGTTTTCTTCGTACACCTTTACGGCCTTCAATTTTGCCTTTAAGGATCAGTTGTAATAGCCTTTATCGATTTCTTCTAACTATATATCCCAGATATTAACGAAAACGGAGTATGGAGATCCAGGTACAACCATGACCTTTACAAAGGTGAAAAAGGTGGGACGATGGAGAGAGGGGGGAGCGAGAAAGAGAAATATGATTCAGATAAGACATTTTCCGATGTTTAACAGTATTTAGCAATTCTCAATCTTTGTTGACCCTTCTTAGTACTTCTTCATTAGTTTTTCGTGTTGTCCAAGGTATCTTCAGCATCCGTCTATGAATCCACATTTCAATGCTTGATAATACTTGATACTTTTAGTGCCCACACTTCTGCTACATACAGAAGTACAGACCAAATATATTCTTCGTTTTATTTCTATGTCTGGATCTAGTTGGTCCGTTATGACAGTTCGCAAATATGTAGTTTTGTGAACTTTTTCAACTTGGACTCCATTTAATTGAAGCTCTGTCTCTAGATGTGTGTAAAGATTTTGTTTTGTTTAGGTTTATTTTAATGCCCTACTTTAATTTCCTCTCTTACTCCATGAATACCGTCAAGCAGAATTTGGAGACCTTCCATATTTTCTGGCAGAATTACTGTATCGTCTGGTTATCTAATTACATTAAGTAGTTCCCCGTTGATTTTGATTCCATATGGCTACCTCCCAAGTGCCTTTTTAAATACTTGGTTCGAGTAAACATTGAACAATGTTGGGAACAGCAGTTTGATTCCACTGCAGATTTTTAATGACCCGTATATCTTTGTAATCTATTCCTATATTTTTTAGCATCTGCATTAATTTTACATGCTGGACTTTACCGAATGCCTTTTCAAAGTCAACGAAGCCAAAAAGTGCCTCCCTAGCGCATTCTATCGAGGAATTCGCGACGTAATTTTATTTATTTAACATAATTAAAGCCGCTTCTTTGATTTTTCTCTTTTTATCACGTTTCTTTCAGGACTATACTTTAATCTTTCCACTGAACTCATGGGGGGGGGGGGGTAAATATTGTCTTTATTCCTATTGATTTGAGGATTTTGTCGGTTTTATGCCTTTGATGTAAGGAATAAAAGTCTTCGTATTATGAAGATCTTTGGGTTGAGTGGGAGATTAATGCGTGTTTGATATGATTTTCGCAGTTACCATTTTGGATGAGGACTTGTTTTAAAGAAGAGAGCAGAACTACTTGCATCATCGCAAAGGCGTATTAACTTGAAGACAAGGTTATTGATAACTAAATTCATTTGTGAAGGCGGTGAAACTTGAAATGCAAGTAGCGGTTGATATGGGTGAGTTTTCGGTAATCTAAAATGAAAATATTTGCATTATTATCTATATTTCGTCCAAAAAAAATTCAAGAGCAGATATTTTGTATTTTTATATTACATCATTGTCCCAAATAAACACTGAACAGCCAGTCCCATATTAGATATTGAACTCATGTGTGTATATTGCAAGGAATTTACCATAGTTACTGGTAATTTGATCTCAACATAAAGTTAGTGATAATGTTAAACTCTAACATCAACGTATGATTTTCAATGTTCCTTCAATTGATGATTGATATTTATTTTTAGTTTCTTCTTCTTTAAGTGCCGTCTCCTTTAAGAAGGTTGGCTATCATCACGGCTATCTTCACCTTTGACACTGCTGCTCTAAACAGCTCAACAGAGTTACAATTGTACCACTGCCTCAAATTGTTTAGCCAGGATACACGTCGTCGGCCTATGCTTCTTCTGCCCAGTATCTTTCCCTGTATAATGATCTGCAGCAACTCATATCTCTCACCTCTCATGACATGACCCAGATACTGCAATTTTCTTTTTTTAGTTTGCGATCCTGTAATGGGAGACAATGGAAATTTATATGTACCAGAAGAACTAGTACCGATATACAAAGATTCTGTTGTAAAGCTAGCTGATATTATTACTCCAAACCTTTTTGAGTTACAGTTATTAACCGATATATCTGTTAAAACCGCAGAGGATGTTTGGAAAGCTATAGATATTTTACATAATAGAGGTGTAAAAAATGTTATTGTTTCTTCAGTTGAAATGCCTAACCAGCCTAATTTCTTGAATGTATTTGCTAGTTCTAGTAGAGGTAAGTTTTAATAGCATAGTTTAAGAGTGAGTTGAAAGGATTCAGTTTAAATGAGTATTACAGAGAGGCGAGCGGCGAACCCCCAAAATGGGGGCTTTAGTTTTCGATAAATCCATAACTCTCTGGCTACCAGGCAAATTTTTTACCAAAATGTTTGTAATCAAAATCTGCACAACTTTGTTTTAGATGCAATTGGATACAAGAGGCACAAGATCGAAATAGATGGAAAATTATGAGGGAGATCTATGTCCAGCAGTGGATAGGCGAAGATTGAATGATGATGGCAGATCAATAAGTAGAGTCAAACTATTTTGCCAAAAATTACTTCGAAGTAATTCGAGATAGATCTCCCTCATAATTTTCCATCTATTTCGATCTTGTGCCTCTTGCATCCAATTCCTATGATAACGTTTTAGATCGTCAGTCCAACGTGTTGGTGGACGACCTCTGCTTCGGTAGGCATCATCTCTTGGTCTTCATTCCAGCATCCATTTGTCCATCTATTATCTGTTGATTTGCCATCTTCTTCTTCTTTAAGTTCCATCTTCTATCGAAGGTTGGAAATCATCATGGCTATGCGGACTCTGTTGACTGCCGCTCTAAAAAGTTCTGCACTACTGCATTCAAACCATTCCCTTAAGTTCTTAAGCCAGGATATTTTTCGTCTTCCCACATTTCGCTTTCCTCGGATTTGCCATATTTGGATTTATATGTACCATATATGATTTGCCATATACACCTTAAAATAGATTGTTTTAGCTGACTTTAAGTAAGATAATTTATTTATAGATTTATTTTTTCTAACAGATAAATTGTACCCAAGTAACTTTACACTTATTTATGTCAAGGGTCATATGCTGAAGCTAGTGTAAACAACTAAAAATTCTTATAGGTTGTTTTTTAGCTCAAAGCTAAATATGCTTTTTTTTATTGAAAAAAACTATGTAGTATCACATCCACTTATTGTATGTAAAGATAAGTGAGTCAATTATATTTGAACTAATTTTTTTTGCCATATGTTCCCCAACCCCATTGAAAACAGTTTATTTAGAAAAGTTAGATTGTTTTGCAGATTTTTATTACGAATATTTTGGTACCCAATTTGATCGGTTGCCAACGGTAATCATATTTATATAGCAGAATTGAATACATTACCTGAACAATTATCTCAGCTACATTTTTTATTTGAAATATTTTTTTTCTACGATATACAGATTTACCCCCCTGCGAGGTGGGGTTTTAGGGGGAAGCCCGGTGATAAAAGTGGTAAACTTTTTTGGGGTTCCAAAATTAATATTCTCGGCAAAATTCAGCTTGTTCGTATGATTTTTAGAGGTTCGGTGGCATTTTCGTCTTTGACGACTGGAGTATATTACGACCATATTTTGTGATTTTTAGTTGTATTTAAAGGCATTCTCGTTATTTTTGATATTTGAACGACTTACGTATCAAAGATTTTCTAAATTATTCGAATAAAACTATTTAGACCGAAATATGACTTATTTTACTCGCTAAATGTGGCGATAGACGTTCCGAAGAAGTCTTAGTTAATCAATTATCTACCACTGTAGAAAAACACAATGAAAACTACGACAAATATCATCAGAGTATCAAATAATTTAAATGATCTTTTACAACATATATCTCTAAATGACAATTTTGCCACAATTAATTTTAAAACTCTTTACTTCCAAAAAATATTGGCCTAAAACATTTTGTGCAGGCATGAATGAACCCTATTGTGAATACCTATTGTGAATATTTATCATCTTTTTAAATTAATTCCCGTCAATCAGCCCTATAAAAATACATCTCACATAACAAATACAAAAACCAACAGCACTACATGAATTTCCTAAAAGGTCAACAAAATAAGCAGCCTAATGCAATTTAAACACAAACCAAATACATAGTTCAAGTCAAACTCATTCGAATACCTTTAATAATAGAGCTAATAATCTGCCAAATTTTCGATACTTCATGAATTTCCCTCGGAGTACGAAACGGTCCGCTTTTAATTTTTCACGACAACCTAATTTTAACTAAGAAAGAAGTATTTGATAGGCTGGTAGTCCTGTAGTTTTGTAGTTCTGACGGCAAGAAGAAACCCAACGACTTCCAGAATTAACAGTATCTTCAGGCATGCTACTTGACGAGCAATTAACCGTCAAACTGTCAGAAGACGGTTACATGCATCCAATTTAAAGGCTAGACGGCGCGCTCCCATCCACGACTAACTAATGAGCAGCGTGCATGCAAATATCGATGGGCGATGGAAAACTATCAGTGATTTCGAAAATTGGAGGAATTGTCTCTTTACTGACGAGTCCAGATTTCGTTTGTATACGAATGATGGCCGAATATTGGTGTGGAGGGAAAGAGGACAGCGTTACAATCCAGCACTCTTTTTGGAGGTGGATCCGTTTGCGTGTGGGGAGGCATATGCTTTGACGGTCGCACGGAGTTAGTCGTCTTAATTAATGAGACAATGACTTCTATACGAAATCGAAACAAAGTCATAGTACCAATAGTTATTCCATTTTTTGGTGCAATAGGCGAACAATTTGTTCTGATTGATGATAATGCTCGCACTCACTGTGCGAGAATTGTCAACGAGTAGATAGAAGCTCATGGCATTACAAGAATGGAGTGGCCACCATGTTCACCTGATATGAATTGCATTGAACATGTTTGGGTCGAAATTTCTAGGCAACAAAATAGACTCCTTCAACCGCTCCAAACCTTGATCAGTTGGCCAATACATTACGCGCGATTTGGGAACGTATACCGCAGCAGTTCATCAATAATTTAATAACAGGTCTTGCAAATAGAGTTAGAGCACTAAGGCGACACAGAGGTAGACCCACACACTATTAATTTTTCTTTTCGGGATATTAGAAATTGAGCAGGAATAGAAATTTTAGGTTGTTAATTTTACAATTTTTGTTTTTCTATTTTTTTTTTCTTAAATAATTTCTTTCTTTCGGTCCATCTGTATGAAAATACGAAGTAAAAATATATCTTTATTTATATCACTCCATTTTTCTATTTGACCTTATGAACAAAAAATAAAATACACATTTTCATTATCTCCACTTCAATTGTTGAGAAGTGTAGTTTACATTGATTGGTTATGAAAATAATAACACAATATTAGAATGAATAAAAACTTTACCGTTTAGGATTTCTGATTAAAAGTCGCTGCTAAATTGCCGCTGTTATCTTTTGAGTGTTAAAATCATCGTAAACTAACAACTCTAAATGTTTTAGGAGAAAATAAAGAAAAGTATTGTTTAGAAATTCCAAAATTACCAATTGCTTTTACGGGCTCTGGAGATTTATTCGCTGCTCTTATACTATCTTGGATGCACATTAGCAATAGTAATCTAAAGCAATCCTTAGAAAACACGATAGCGTCTTTGCATGCAGTTTTAAAAAGAACTCTGGAAGCTACACAAGGTAAAAAAATATATTTTTTTGTTATAATTTTCCGGTATATAGAGTAGATCTGAAATCTAAATATATTTTTTAAAACAAAAAAGGTTACCCTAGATATTTATTGATTTAGCGTATGCCATTTCGACACCTCTACAATATTCCAATAAACATTACAATAAACGTTAAAATTGACTCGATATAAAAATACTTAAATCATGTGCCCAGTTTATAGGCAAACGTCTAGGTAGTTTATATAGTTAATCGACTCGATCGTCACAAACGGGAAGTCTTGTGAACTGCCCTCGTAGGATCGCTGGTTGCACTCCTCCGTGCTTGATAGATTGGACCTTGCTGCAGCTGCATGGCGGTGATGGTAGCTTACCATGTTGTTAAATGTGCACCCGGTCTTACGTGGTAGGTCAAATCCAGGAGGTGTCTCTGTGATGCAAGGTATGGCTGTATTTGGTTGAGCTGCCGACCATTCATGGATCCATTTGGTGATCTTGTCGAACCCTGTGCCTGCGTCTGATTCTGCAGTTTGTATTGGAGATTTTCTGGAGCGCAGTCGACTGTTGGTTGCATCTTCTATATAGTTATGAATCGGTAGAGCCGTGTTGCTAAGGATCTTGTTGTATTCTTTGGTAAGCAGATTGATTCGGCGAAGATGTGGTGGTGGAATGTCGCTCAGTGATGGTAGCCATTGTGTTGGTGTAGATTTGATTACTCCAGCGATCATTCTCATCGTGTTATTTAGTTGGACATCAATCCTCTTAACATGAGCAGTGTTGATCCATATTAGCGCGCAGTATTTAGCTCCGAAATAAACAAGAGCTAAGCCTGAAAACATGAGTGTGAATGCCGATGCCCCCATGTTCCGCAGAGCTTCTGAATGATGTTATTTCTGGTTTTTAGCTTCTCGGCAACTGTTGATCGATAAAGTGAAAGAATTTAGAACAGAAACGGGGTATGGAGGGGAAGCATAGCTTTCTTATCATCTACGCATGGTGCGAATATTCTTATTTATTTATTATATCATTTATATTTTAGGTAAACCACTAACAGCATTTAATACGGAGTTAAAGCTGCTGCAAAGCAAACGTGATATTGAAGAACCAATTGTAAGTTTCAAAGCCACAAGAGTCTTATAATGTCTTTAAGACAAACCAAATAGTATTAAAAGGATAACTTTTTAGGTAATTTTTTTGTTAATTTCAGTTGAGTTTAGTTAATGTATAAAATAATTTACGACAGACTTCATTATCGCATTTTTGTTACATTTATTACGAAGTTAAAAAAGTTAGTTAAAATGTGTGGGGTTTATTTACTATATATAACTACAAGAACTAATATGTACACTTTAAAGCTCGTAAGACATGTTTCATTTTAATAATATTCTTAAATTATAGTGCTGGTTGACATTTAGCAGTAAATAATCATATGACAGCGGTAAATAAAAATTATTTCGAAAAGTACGCCATTATTATTATGTGATATTCTCTCTTGTAATATATGACTGAATATAATATGCAGTTTTATATAGCAAATCGTCGAGAAAATTGTGAAATTTGCATTTAAATGACGTGTTTGTTAAAACCACGTTGGCCACGTTGGATAAATAGTAAAATTAGCTTCAAACAATATTCTCTACATGCAAGGTAACCACGTTTTAATAAATAGTAAAATTAGCTTCAAACAATATTCTCTACATGCATGTCTGCCTTTTTCATGCGGCCACTGCTCACAAAAAGATCTCTTCACAGGATCAGAATTATTTTAATGCAGGCAAATGGACTGGCAACTTGATTTAAACACTCGCGGTACTTTAACTGCAGCGAATGGGTTCAACAATCGCATTTCATTATCGAGGAATTCTGTGATCTCTAAAATATTTAATACTTTTTTTTGTGTGTTTTGGCTTGGACAATTGTCATTCAGCCAGTCTCAATCAAGATAAGTTTATTAATGTAGTGTGTGTGTCTGTGTTTGTGTGTGTAGAGTAATTGTCTTGATACTTAGCAAAGTCGACGTCATTGTCTTTGCTAAGAGACGCTAATTGTATCCGAACGTCTGCGGTCCCTCCGGTGAGTACTGATCACACAAGGATAGAAATTATTTTCATTTATTAATTTTTTTTTTAATAAACGGAAATTTCCACCCAGGTGGGATTCGAACTCACGACCTTTAGGTTTAAAGGTAGGCGCTCTTACCACTGAGCCACAGAGGGGGTTATATTTAATACTTGACCGCTACTTAAAGTAATATAGGTATAAATCGTTTTAAAATGTAAAAAATCAGCTTAATCACGAACACTTCGAAGTGTGTAGATTATAATAATCATGGTTCGAGCCCGGATCCAGTCAGAAGTGTTAAGTTCAAACATATCACTTAAAATTCTAAGAGGATATGCCACCTTCAATTTGCAGTCACGAGTGTATAAAGTTGGTCGATGGATGAGTAGTACGGTGTAAGGCTTTAGTAGCACGGTAAAGTAGGAAATTTGTGTCAGAAATCCTGTCTGCCCATCTCCGAAGTCCTCTTGGATTTGTACCACTATCTGATGCGGTCTAGGCATAGGCAGCATAGGCCGAAAAACATAGAGACCAAGGACAGACGTTTTGAGAGACAGGGACAGGTATTTATGATAAGTAATGCGTCTAAGAAAAAACTTGTTTTTCCTGTGTTAAGTGTGAGAGATCTTATAGGAATGACAAGGTACACGGAGGTTTACATCGAAACCATGTTGTAGCCTTATGTTTTATGAATTTTTTATTTTCCTGATTTGATGTGTTTTAACTGAAACAATACTAATTTAACAATAATATATAAAAAAAACAGGTAACAAAACTGAAAGAAATAACGGAAACTAATATCGCCTGTTTCTCCGTCTACTTCTAATAACAGCTTCACATTGTCTAGGGATGCTGGATATTAAGCAGTCTATTTGATTTTGGTCTATGAAGTTTAAGATATCAATAACCATACCATATCTACCTACCATATTCCATAAGGGTTCAATAGGATTCATGTAGGAACTGTGAGGAGGCCAATTCAATGTCTGAATATTTACCTCACTTATATTCAGTAACGACACGCGATACGTGAGTGCTTGCGTTATCATGCGAAAGATGAAATTATTTCCTATATAAGGCGCGAAAGGACCAACGTGTTTATTGAAACAAAATTTCTGTAACATACCTTTTGGTCTTTAAAGAGCCTCCACGTAAAGACAGCAAATTCGTTCCTGCTGTCAAGAAAATTCTACCCCAAAACATCACAGAGCTTCCATTGAACAATCGTGTCTCTCGTATGCTGTCTGTACATACCCTTAACCTGGTCGACAAATAGCAATATGTAGAAGTAGAGGGGGGAAACAGGCAATATTAGTTAACGTTATGTTTCTTTCTCTTTTTATAGATTTGTTAATAGTTTATTATTTTTTATTGGTAAATATTGCTTCAGCTAAAACACATGGTTAAAGATTAAAACCGTCTATTTTTTCTTGTTTTTAAAGATATCAGAAAAATTTAAAAAACAAAATGTTGAAACATGAAACCACAACATGGTTATGATGTAACCCCAATCGTGTGCCTTGTCATCCCTACAGGGTGTCTCAAACTTAGTACAAGAAAAACATTTTTTTCTTCTATCCGGTATAAGCACAGAAGAGAAGTTTGAGTCTACCATTGGCCAACAGTGTAAATAATAAAGAAAAAGTCGAAAATGAATAATTGTTGAATCCGTTCACGAGAAATTCTATCAATTAAGCATAATTTTAGGTGGTGCAAAACTTTGTGGTTAAGTTTATATTGTATTCATAACAATGATCTCCTTAGTTCTTTACTTGAATACAATTATTGAAATAAAACATATTTTACGAGCTTTCATGTGTTATTTTAGACTTTTTAAGGGAATTACGAGCTTCGTATGCCAGACTTACTCGTTCATTAGGCAGTTTGTTGGGTTTAATGTAAGCAATTTTTTGTTATAAAGGTAAATTAGATCTTACATGATTCCTTTTCAGGCGTTTTTTAAATTTTCTCATAATTTATAGACCTAACCTATAATAGTGTGGCCGATGTAGACATGTGACCATGTATATATGATTTGCCAGACATCAGCTTCTAAATTTTTTCTCTAATGCGTATTCGCTCCGTGCGTGACTGATGCGAGACCTACCGCCTTCATCTGACAATTTTGGAGTCCCAATTTTCAGGTTAAATATATGACATATGTTTGAAATTGTTAAATACATGCGAAATTGACAATTATTAATAAATTAGTTTTTTAACTATATTTTTTCAGTTTATGTACAAAATAAATGTAGTATTAAAAACTGAGTTTCTCAAAATTCATCATAATATATCTTTTCAACTCCAAACGGAAAAGAAAGCGAAAAATCTAGTACTAGTAAATCAAGTTTTTCACGCAAAAGAGCATATAATTAAAAACAATAATAGTAAAAGTTATGATATAAAAGCTAAAGTCATCTGCAGCTAGATTGAAGCCTTATGAAATATCATTCAAGGTAAATTATTTAAATTGTTCCTATTTCAATTGCATAAAAATGAAATTATGTGATATTTACTTTTTCATATTAATAGCACGAATTTATCTTTTTCTTTTCCCTAATTTATATGTAATCTTTGGGAACCTATAAAAACTACACTCACTGTTTTTGCTATTATTAGCAGAATTAAATACGCAACATGTATTTGCACACATTTTTGATAAAACTTATGCGTAAAAATATTTTGTCCAATATTCCAATTTTGTCATATTTCGCCGCTACGCACGCTGGCATCGTTTCAATGTACCCCTACCATGGTCACGCCCGGAGCGAATATACCAGCTTGTTTGCAACTTTTCTCCTTTTTTCATTTTGACGTTTCTCGATATTTGATTATTTCAAACGTCATTACAACCATTTCAAGGATCAAGTAGTACCGGCTTTCACGGCCGGTGTTTTTTAATGTTAAATTGTATTCGGGGTTTATAGGTCGTGGTATGGAAGTATTTATTCCCAGCGTTTGGTCTGAAACTGCGGCAAATATGATCATCGGTAACGGGGAGCTTATGTAATGTACGTATATTACAGGATCTTACAGAATTTGGCAATATTCATTTAAAGTTGCTGACTTTACATCTAGCTGAATAACATTCCAATTATGTTTAACATATATAATAGTTTATTATTAATAATTCTCCGGCTTCTATATAACATGAAGCTTCTCCTTTTTAAAATTTTTAAAGTGTTTGTTTGTCTTTGTGTATTGTATTGTTACGTCCAAATTTACATGTATGACATTCTACTCATGTCGGATAGGCCACAACTGACGAAATGCCCCTGAAGATGATCTATTGATCGAAAGTACTTGGGCAAGATTAAATTAATCACTGTGTTCGATAGTTGCCTTGTATACCGTCAAAGTTATAATAGTGATACCCTTAAGGTTAGCTTCTTGGTACTGGAGAATAAACTTCTTCAGACAATGAATCCTATGTGGTCTTGCTTTCTTTTACACTTGTCCATCCACAAAAAACCGAAAAACCTACTTTTTGTCAATGACCTTTCCATTTTTTGGATATGGTACTAACTCACATGTAGTATTTTCCTCTAAGGCATTCTGCTTATTATCCATTGCCTTTTTCCAATCATCTCCCAGTTGTATTGCATCTTCATAAGACAGTGGAACATCAGATAAAAGATGCCCCATGGAGTCTGCTGCAAAGTTGGCTTCATTATCAAATGCAGTATTGGTTTACTCTTGTAAGTTAGGGGTCATCTTATTTTTGTGCTTCTACACATTTCTTCGCCCTTATGTTGCATTGTTTTTGAGTTATCCTCTTCCTCATGTTGGTGTTTGGTCTAAATCAATTCCCCTTTCATCTGGGTTTGACATATGTTCATCAAAACAACATTTCTGCCATGAACAACCTTTTTATCATTCTGAATCCATAGCATATAACCATAATAATCATGAATCTTCTTCATAGTGAGGATAAGCCTGCACCATAGATTGTTTTACACATTTTACTATCATTTGTGACATACATTTCCGAATATTTCTATTTTTGGATTATTTTTGTTTTTAATGATTTAATTTAATCTCTTTTCGTTTGGAGTCAGAATCCATTGGGAAGTTTTTGTCCAAGCATATAAAAGCAGGAATAATTTTTTTATGTTAATTTTTCAGTGTTCAGTAACCTGGATATACCAGTATACTGGATATGATTGTAAAAGGGATTATCATAATCATGTCGTTATCTGATTTACATGTTTTTTTTAGATCTGTATACAATATATACTAATTTTGATCAATGCCATGATTATTTTCTGGTCTATCCAATGCAATATTCAAAGTTAGACGTACAAAGTTAGATGTACAAAGTTAGACAACTGCTACTGCTAACGATTCAATCTGGTTAACTAATAGCAAAACAGTTACTTTTAAACAAGTTATCTTGCCATTCCAAATACTAAATATTTTAGATAATTAAATAATAATTTTTAGTAATTACTCAAGGCAACTGAAATTTCCAAATTTGAGGCTAACTTTCTTAAATAAATTTTACAATAAAATTAGGAATTTTCTAAGGCGGGGATTAGTAATTACTAAGTAAAAATGTTTTATGTAATATATTAATGCTCCCGTATCTGCACAGCGTTGTTGCAAAACATCATACTGCAACACATTAAAATACATAAGAAAACATTTTAATACAAAATTATATATTCTAAATTTTAAACTTACCTCTTGTAATAACAAAAAGGTCCCGCCATTATTTCTTGTTCAAAATAATCTATCTTATATGAAAGCTATTAATCTAAATTTAAAATGTATTTATAAATACAATTTATTAATATATATTATATTATGATCAAATTGTGTAAGAAATCAAAACGTAAACAAAATTTCTACTCTACTCTAAAAAAGCGGCAACACTTTATACACTTTTGCGACCCGCTGAACTGTCAATAATATTTTATGTATTTCCGTATCAGTTGCGTACAATTGTCTAATATATTTAATTAAAATTATTATTTTGGAATATTAGACTTCAAGAGTTATTTCATAAAATTTATATAATATAATAAATGTTTTTGGTTATTTTATCAATATAATTCTAAAATTTCCAATATAATGATGATTATATTTTTCTGATTATTACACCATGTTGACGCCTATGAAAGATCGGGCAGTTCCGTATGGGTTTCCTATTATTAGCTGTGTTAGGAAAATTTGAAGTATAACGTAGATGTTCTGGAAATTTTAAATACAAGTGACGTCACTTTGTATAAATCGTATATTCTTGTACAAGTACTTCGGATCCAGTGTATGATAGAAATCTTTTTAATTACCTGCATAATTAAACGCAGGTAAAAAGTACTTTTAACTTATGATTAGGATAATAACAATTTTTGGGATTTATTGCAATTACAAGCAATATTGAGCAATATTGTCGAAATTATTTTATTGCTTGGAAATAGATAATTTCTTAACTAAATTTCGGTACTGTTAGATGATATAATTTCGATTATCTCAAAATGCCATACCCAAACGAATACGCTTTATTTTTTAGTCACACCGTAACAACGCGGATACAGGGGCACTACTATAGTTAGTATTTTAATTGGATTATCGTTGATTAAAGTTTACTTGTTAACTACCAGTTTGTTAAATTGTTTACACTGGTTTTTTTTAACTGTTTTTATATATTTTTCGTTATTATTAATGGTTTTATGTATAACACTGTCTTCCGTGAAGCCTTAAATTGGGCAAAATAAGCCAGTTTTGCTCAATTGATCGATGTTGTATAAATCTAATAAAACAATAGTATTTGTATTTGATTTTTATTTTTTAACACCTTACATTACAAAAACTAAAATAGACACAATTGATTTACAAAAATAGTTTTGTCAAAATAAATAAATTAAAAGTAAGAATGTTCCATAAGATGGTTGGGCATCAAAAACTTTTTTGGTTTATTATGTTACAAGTATATGAAAATACTTTCAAAACAATTTTACCAAAAGTTCTGTTTAATTTGTCACTCCCATCAAGAAGTACATTCTGGAAAATAAAACTAAATTTTATCTTTCCTTTAAAATAGCTAAATCTAAAGAAACACACCCGTAAAATTTTGAAATTATTAATCGATTTCAACTATTTTTATAACACGAGTACTTGAGGACAAAATTTAAAATTTTCATGACTTACTCTTTAGTCGAATATAGAGAACTTTTTTATTAAAGAACCTACTACGCTACTGAATTCAGAATGCATCCAAATGGTTACGATCGAAGTTAAAATAAATTAAAAAAATATTGACGAAATTAGAGGAATTTCTGGCATAGATATATCATCTATGGATATATCATTTCGAACTCTACGGAGGTTATAACAAACCAAACATCATAAAATTCGTAAAACGAAGCTGAAATGATTATGAATATAACCAAATGGAAAAACAAAGCAGTCGTAAGAGGTGAGGATAGAGTAATCAGATGAAGTTGACAAATGATGGTTAACAATTGGACATCTATTAACAGACAACCATGTAAACTTTACAATTTAAACAAAAAATGGTATAGTAATAAAAGATCCATTTGTGGACTATTAAATTTTCAGTGTACATTACAGTATTTTTCGAGAAAATATTTAGTTATAAATATTACCACCCAACTGGATTTACACCATCGTTGTGAATAGAATAGCTTACTAAGCTACCAGTATACTTTAATCTGACGAGTGTCAAGTTTGGTTTCACTAATTGACAATAGTTATTTAGTGCTTTTAATTATTTTTTGCCATGGCTGCAAGATTAAGTATAATAGAAAGTTAAAGTTATACTTCTTTCGGAAGATGAAGATAGAAGTGCTTATTTAATAAAAGACATGCAGATCGTCCTCTTAACTAATGAACATTAGATAGAACGAAATATTCAATGAATCTGGTACAGTGTCAAAACTGCTTTTAAAAAGTAAGTCAGTTTATGAAACACCAATTTAGATTTGTGCCTCAAGAAACTATCGTCTTAATATTATATCTTTTAAACAATTTACATTCCTTGCAGAAGACGACGAAGCAAACAGTTTGTTATGTATTCTAAGCCAAAGGACATTTACAAAAGAAATTTGTTTTGTTGTATTGAATAAGCCGCAATTTCCGAACTAACACACTGAGATCTATTCTGTAGAAAATCAAACAAGACAATACAAAGGAGACATCAAGATCTGCATTTATAAAATACCTTGTGAATGTAACAATTTTTATGTGGGAGAAATCTCAAGACCAATAAATTTTAGAATAAATAAGCATGAATCATAACAATGCAATAAAACACCTAAACAATAATAAATCTCCAGGAAGTGATGGTATACCCGCGGAACTTATTAAATGTGGAGGTGCTACTCTGACTATGTCATATATATATATATATATATATATATATATATATATATATATATATATATATATATATATATATATATATATATATATATAAAATCATACTGAGAGCCTGGAATGAGGAACAAATTCCGGAAGAGTGGTGTATTGGGATCGTTTGCCCGTTACACAAAAAGGGTGATCAATTGGAATGTAGAAAGTATATGGGAATAACCCTCCTTAATACAGCATACAAAATATTTTCGAGTATTTTATATGGTCGCCTGATTGCATATTCAGAGGAACTTCTTGGCGAATATCAAAGTGGTTTTAGGCCTGGTCAATCAACAACAGACCAGATCTTTGTGCTAAGGCAAATACTGGAAAAATCAATGAATTCAATATCAACACATACCATCTTTTCGTAGATTTTAAATCGGCCTATGATAGTGTCCTAAGAAATAAATTGTATGTAGCCATGGATGAATTCCACATCCCCGATAAACTGATAAGATTGGTTAAGGCTACAATGCGTAAAGTTGTTTGCAACGTCGAAATACAGGGCGATCATACACAGGCATTCGAAACGCATGTTGGGCCGCGACAAGTTGGTCTCCTTTTCAACATAGCTCTGGAAAAGGTGGTCAGGAATGCCTAAATAGACAACAGAGATAACATTTTTAATCAATCATCCCAAATTTTGGCATATGCAGATGATATTGACCTAGATGATGTAATCCTAGCAAACAAATGCTATTTTGGATGAGTGACATATGAGAAGCAGAAACTTAAGCCAAAAAACAAAAATAACCATATACAAAACCCTTATACAACCAGTGTTGACATATGGATCGTAGACATGGACCATTTTCAAGGCAGATGAAAACCTCTTGCTTATATCTGAACGAAGGATCCTGAGAAGAATATTCGGTGGCATCTGTGAAAATAGTGTTTGGCGAAGGATCTCTTATAAAAATAAGAAGACTAATATGGGCAGGACATCTGGCAAGTCAGAAGAATCCTGGCAGAAGATCTTATGTCACAACCTGTGGAAAGTAGAAGTAGGGGTAGGCCAAAACTCAGATGGTGTAGTACAGTGGAAATAGGCATTAATAGTCATGAAAGAAACAAACACAAAGACAATCAACATAATGCAGCAGGCTCTGGATATTATAACTCAAAAAATGGCTATTCGCCCACAAGATCGTGGCCAAGTAAGTCAACTGTCAAATTGACAGAGCACGAATTGATAAACATAACACGTCATATTATAATAAGGCGTAAATTTTATAGTTTTAGTAGATACTACACTGTACATCAGTATTGTTTGCTTGTACATTAAAAATTATGTAACCGTCGGATTATTTTAGCTCTTAAGAATGAATGGTAGGAATTTTTATGCATGTTTCCGGCAATGATTCTGTCAAAATTCTCCAAACTCAGTGAATTGACTAAAACAGCTTTTTGGGGCTACTCTAAATCCAGTGGAGCAGTAATGTTGTAATAAAAATTCAATAACATATTTTCACTTATTGGCTATGAAAATTATTGTATTTATCCTCAAAAATAATTTGTTCAGAAAGACTTATATTAGAACTTTTTTTTATCTAAAATGTAAATGTAGAAAGGCTTCGTGACGTGGGATCTTTTTTCCAATATTTCTTTATTTTCGATTAAAGTATTGCGAAATATTTTTAAAAAATTTAAATACATATTCTAAATTTTGTCCACTTGATTACTCGACATTGATGGAGAAGAAAAAAATGGAGAAAATCGGTTTACAATTTTAATGGATGTTTAGCAATTTAAACATATATTGCTTCGTTGTTGTAAATCCAGTCAATATATTTATTTACTGGAAACAGATTTGTTATGTACACCGCAAATTTCATTATACTCAACAATAATTTGTTTATATGTGACTGTGTTCTAAGTTTTTGCCTGTTTGTCAAATATTTATTTATATTACTTTACAGGATGACTACAAAAACCATGGAATGTTACATCTGAATCACAAAATTACTTATCAAATTATGAAAAGTGAATATAAAATTTTGTTTTCAACATATTGTACTCTGCCGGTCATAAACTAAAACATTACAAACGGAGCTTGTTAGATATCAAAGCAGCAAAACGTGATAGGTATTGCTAAGAGAGTAACAAAGCACAGATCTACAAATTATATAAAATCTCTATTGAAATTAGAATTAACGGGAGAAATAATACTTAAAAAACTTCAAAAGCTCTAATAACATATGCTAATTCTAATCTTAAGAAACTTTTTATTAGAGGTTTTTGAAGTTACTATTGGTCTTGATTGATTGGACCTACGTGAAATCTCGACGCTATTACCCCTCTTTCATGATAATGAGTTTAATAAACTCAAAAGCGGTCAAATAAACCTTAAAGCCCTATAGATGACCACAAAACCCAATTCATATCTAGCGAGCCTTTTCATCCCCAATTATTTTAATGAGTCTAGGTGACAAAAAAAAATGTAAAAAATAAATGGTGATAACTTCTCAGAGATCAGAAGAATTCATCATCCGCATATATTCAGAATGTTTATTTGCGTACAGTACAGATAATATAATCTATTGGTCGACATTCAAAATACGCCCAATCTCTAACCAATCGAATCGTCCGAATTAATAACTGACAGTCAATGCGAACTTTTCATAATGTCTACCCACGCAATGTGGAATGTCATTCAGGGCTGCATTTAATTTTACGACAAAATTTTGTATTTTCATTATAACGTGGACATGTTTTTTTTAATTAAAATATTTCAAATACGCCAATGTATTCCCTATAACGAACCTGGTTGATAGTTAGATGTTTCTTGTATTTTTTTTAATACACATATTTTGGAATACTTTAGGCCGTTTTAATTTATTACTTCATGATAAAGATATCAACCTATTAGTTGGCTTTAATTAACGAAAAAGTTTTTTATAAGTAAGCAAGTAATTCTCAACTGTGACTGGAACTTACAAATTGGTATTTCGTTGACTGAAGGTTACAGTTGATGCCAACTATGTTTAAAAATTGCTTTTCTAATTAATGTTAACCAATAGAGTATTTCAAACTGTATTCATTTTTAATTGAGTGAAAGAACAAACTAAAAATATACCTATACATTCTTTTAACATATTTTTGCCTTTCTGTTCACTAATCAACTTAAAATCGCTAATATTTTCAATACATTACAATGTTATGACAACAACAGTTTTGTTATTAAATACTTTCTTTTGTTTTTATCAAAATAGCAATTTTATTGGTACTGTTCTTTCAGTTAATTTAATAAGAAAACAGAAAGATTTTTTCATTAAAAAAGAAAATCTCAGAGATTGTCATCCTTTTTTTGATACAGTTCCGTAAAAACAGAACGCCATTATCAAACTGTCAATTCTGGTCAGCCCTTGTGAACATTTTAAAATCAAACACTCCTTCCTTCACTTTTATATATCCTAAGTTGTAAAGTTATTGTTTATTTTCTCTGTGTAATTACAATTAACAAGTCTAAATTCCATCGGAAAGTCTGGGACACACTTTTTACCACAAAGCAACCCACACTTATACGTATGTATCTGCCCATTTACAGGAGAATTTGACTGTCATGATTGGACGGTGTTGTCTCTTTCAAAACAAATTACATCCTATCATTATTTTTTGACAGTTTT